AATGGATCTCAACAGATGGGAAATCTTGACATCTGAGCATTCAGCCTGGAGGCAGGCGGTGCATCCTGGCCTCTCCCAATTTGAAGAGACCCTCGTCCAACAGGCCGAGGCAAAGAGGCAGTTACGAAAGCGGCAAAATCAGGGAGCTGGACGGGGGACAGATTGGATTTGTCTTCAGTGTGGAAAGGATTGTCACTCTCGAATTGGCCTTCTCAGCCACACTAGACACTGTTCCAAGTCCTCCATACAGAACACGATACCATAGTCTTTCGAGACTGAAGGATGCCATCAAATCGTTAAAGCATTTTTTTCTTCCTTTATCACAGAGTAGGAGGAAGGGATAAATTATACATGTATTTTTCTCTAGCTAAGTCCATTCTTTAATGTCAGAAATATAAATAGGAATATAATTCCCTTTCTTTCAGAGGATCTTCGGCTTCCTAAGCAGTGCATTTCTATTCTTTGCTACTATTCAGGCATCAATGAGACACATAAAGGATAATAAGCATGCCGTTTTATGTGTCACATGTGCTCTTGAGTGTATCTATTTGAATTATTATTTGTTGTTCTTTATTGAGGTGCAAATACAGGTTGCTTCATTTAGCTACACAAACCTGCTGATGACTAGCAACTTCTGCATACATATGGAGTGATAGAAGATATACTTTATGTTTTTGAATTTGGGTTTGGGCTTGTTTTGTTCCTGCTTTTAAAAAATCTGGCAGTTAAGTTCTGACAGATAGTATTCTTAATATCTGTGAAGATTCTCAGTCATTCAGGTGAGGTTATTTGGAATCTGAATCATGGCAACTGGATCTTGGATGAGTACCTGAAGATTTCAACCTAATAAGAAACAAGTCTGGTTGCCATGACTCAACTTCCAGAGCTAAAGATTTCAACCTAATAAGAAACAAGTCCGGTTGCCATGACTCAACTTCCAGCATTCTTGATAGCTTATTGTATGGACAAATGATGTGATCTTCTGTGTCTTATTTATATGAATACCTTTTTTCACCTTAGGGTCTATCTGTTCTGGAATATTACAGGTAGTCAGCCTCTTATCAGTAGTTTTTTCCACTAAATCCAAACATTACACAGTTATATCTTTCAGGTTTTCAGATAACACAGTTGCAAAAGTATAAGAAACTCAGTTTTCCTGAAAACATGCTGCAGAAAAAGCATATCTGGAAAAAAAACAAAAGAAAAATAAAAAATAAAGAAGACAAAAATGTTGTGGCCTCTTAAAGACGAACCGTTATATTTTAAGGTGAGCTTTTGTGGACAAATCCACTTTCTCAGACTTGTCTACGAAAGCTCACCTTCAAACATAGCAGTTAGTCTTCAAGGGGCCACAACATTTTGCCTTTTTTATTTTTTTATTTTTCCTTTATTTCTCCCAGTTATGCTAGCTTAGACTAATATGGTTGCCTCTTCTAAAATTGCGAAAAGGTCAGTGCCTGACATTTTCCTCTTCAGCAAATTGTTTGCAAGCAGCAAGAGATGTTAATGTGATAATATGCCATACTGTGGTGCTGTATGGTGCTGCTTCATGTTTAGTCATATTTTGGTTGTTCTAACCTGACATGTCTGTTTCTGTTTAGCAACTCTATAGGAAGAAGCCTGGGATGACAATGTCTTGTGCCAAATTACCTCAAAACCTTTCCAAAAATAGATATAGAGACATTTCGCCTTGTAAGTATTTGTATGTATGTAAGTTTACGCTTTGTGAGTTGCCATTTCGACAGTTAACAGGTTTTCTATTGTGTTTTTTTAAATTCCTAGATGATGCTACACGGGTCATATTAAAGAGTAATGATGATTACATCAATGCGAATTATATAAACGTGAGTTGATGGTTCTAATTTTCCTTCAGGTTATTTCTGTGTTGCATAACTGGAGATGAAATAGTTTAGCCTTCTTGGTTTAAAAGCTGGGGGGGCAACTATTCCATTTTTATATCATTTCAAATAGCTTCAACATAGTGTAGGTTTTTATAGGGGCTCACAATTCTGGTATGGATTATGGTGCATACACATGCAACTCTAATCTGTGGTAGGAACAGAAAAGTTAAAAAGTTTTTGTGTCATCTTCTCCCCAGAAGTTAATTGGTCTTTTGATGCTCTTCTAACTAAAAGAAGTCATTTGTGTCCAGCTGTATATAAATGAGCCCAAACAAATTAGACCTACAGTCAGATATTGTTACAGATTACTTTTTCTGGAGTTAGGAGAAAAAATGATCTTGATGTTTGTTGATTTTTAATTGTTTTCACAAGAAGCAATGCAATAATACAATTTTTTAGTCTTCTACTGAGATTATATTTGACCTTCCCAAGAGTATATTAAGTTGTGAAATTAATAAAATCATTTGGCATTTTTCTTTTATTTTTAGATGGAAATCCCTTCTTCCAGCATAATAAATAAATACATTGCTTGCCAAGGTCCTTTACCCAACACTTGTCCTGATTTTTGGCAGATGACGTGGGAGCAAGGTTCTTCTATGGTGGTTATGTTAACCACTCAAGTGGAACGAGGCAGAGTAAGATGGAGTGTAATTTTAACTCTTAAAACAAGTAGCAAATCTCGTCGAAGCAAGTGCTTTTTTAAAAACAATGTTTCTTTTCCTGTACTGTTAAAATGTTTCCAAAAATGTATTGTATTTATACATAACCTTTCTGCCACAGCCATAAAGACAGTTTACAGATTTTAGAACACTAAAGCAAGTGTACTTCTCTCAGATTGGTGGTACCATCACCAACTAATGGCATGCGTTTTCTGGCTTGGGCTTGTTTCAGGTGATGGTAGTGTAAGACATCCTTTAAGAGCACCCCTCCTCTTTGAACCTGTTGTATCTTTTAAATTATGTTCTGAGTTGTATCAGTTATTGGTTTGGGGGCTCAGAATGACATAATAAAGCTCTAAACAAGGTGCCCAAGATGTCTGTAGGAACAATTTCTCCAGTCTACTGCCACCAACAGTATGGCTTAGCTTACTGTTCTGTTCTTTCACAAAGTACATTTATACATTAAGGTGTCTAGAAAAGTAAATAAAATAAAATAAATCCACGTGGAGGGTCTAGACCTGCTGTCATTCAATGTCATTACTATCCCTCTCCATTCTTTGAGAGGAGAGGAGCTTCCTCTCTCTGTGGAGGTGCTTCACTCAACTAGAACCCTAGAAAAACAGCATTATAGATCCTGTGAAAAGCTTCCAGAGGCAGAAAGGCTCTTCTCTGTTCAGAGTTGTTCTTTATGTGAGGAGAGTAACTTCAGAGTGGAGTGAGGTAGAGCACAATATCTCCTTGTGTTTATTTTACCTGGTCGCATGGAGATTTGATCTCTCACCTTTCTGTTGCCTTCTTCTTGGAATGTTTTTGTCTTAGCAATTAAATTTAATTAGTTCTCCCATGTACTTTGGAAGGTTCGTGGTATTTTAGTTTTAAAAGATTTTGGAGAGAATTTGGAGCTGCCATTGTTATTGTCTGTATTTCTGGGGGTTTTTTGTGGCTATTATTTAGCTTCTTTGAGAACTATGTTGCTAGAAGATCAGTGGGAATAAGTAAATAAAACTAGGTGCCAATGATAAAATGTGAATTACCATATAATTTCAGTAACTCTAAAAGCATCCATATCACTGTAAAAAGACTGTTATACTTCAAAAACCTGCTGTTGGATTAAAGAAAATACATAGCTATGTAGAGATTATTGTGTTAACAGGAGACATGGGGGAATTTGATAATTTTTTTTAGTTAATCATGGAGTTAATTTCCAGGAGAATAGAGTGTCAGCATAGAGATCAACTGTTAGAGAAGTTCTGAGTTCTTCAGCTATGTTGGACTATTATAATTTTGGATCACATTCTTGCTAAAGTTTAATTGAGTGTCAATCAGTCACTGGATTATTAATATAGATCGTGTAAGAAGTAACCAACTTCATTTATAGGCTTTAATGCATGTCTCATGCCACAGTTGGAGATAACTACAAGATATCTGGGGCAAAAAGCTGCTTTTGAAAACTGAGGAGCATTTAAAAACAATTTCTCTTGGTTTTAGGTAAAATGCCATCAGTACTGGCCAGAGCCTGGTGGAAGCTCCTTATATGGGAATTTCCAGATCACTTGCCATTCAGAAGAAGGAAATCCTGCTTATGTCTTCAGAGAGATGACATTATCTAACCTGGAGGTAAGACACATAATTCAATATGATTTTTTTAGTAACCCTAAATCTGAAAACATTTCTCTTCAGAATTTTATTGCAGTCATATTTTGTCTGTTAGTTTTAGACTTCTTCGAGAAATAGTTCATAGTATTGATACTAATTCTTAACATTTGTTCAAAATATATAATATATATATTATATTAATCACTTCAAAAATCTAAATGTATATATCAGTTCACCTCTTACGTAGTTTTAGTACGGCCTTTTAAACTGTTCCCTCAGATTTAATCCCAGATTTGCATGACATTTACATCAGGGATCTGATTTTGTAAATACATAATATATTTAATCATGTAATGCTGGTCTCACCTCTGTTTAATCATTTTGAACTTGATTTAACTGATGTGACACATGGAAGTAAGTATGTGAAACACTTGAGATAGATTTGACTTTGAACATTAGACATTAAACATGTTATAGAAAGTCACTGAGTTGTTCAGTAACATCTGACCAAATTTTGTTTCACTAGAAAAATGAAAGTCGTCAGCTCACTCAAATCCAGTATATCGCATGGCCTGATCATGGGGTTCCTGATGATTCCAGTGATTTCCTGGATTTTGTATGTCTTGTCCGGAAAAAAAGAGCTGGCAGAGAAGAACCAATTATTGTTCACTGCAGGTATTTAGTTCACAGGAAAAATTTACTGTACCTTTTTGTCAGCCCTTTAATTGATAGTATTATTTCACTTCTACTGTTCTACATTTTCAGATATTCTGAATTCTCATGGTTCCTGAGTGTAAATAGATTGGGATAGTAACAGATTTTACCCAGTGTCCCCAGTGCGTTTTCATTCTTCACAAAAGCATGTCTATTTGTGTCATTGAGAGTATGACTTAATAAGAAGCTGACGGCATATACCAAGATCCAGGTCTATAGAGCCTGTGTCCTGAGCACACTCCTGTACTGCAGTACTGTACTGGACCCTTCGTGCACGGTAGGAGAGGAAGCTGAACACGTTCCATATCCGATGTCTCCAGTGTATTTTTGGTATCACCTGGCAGGACAAGTTCCAAATAGAGTAGTCCTAGAACAAGCTGGAATTTTTAGCATGTATACAGTACTGGAACAGTGACATCTACATTAGCTTCGGCATGTCGTGAGAATGGCTGATGGTTGGATTCCAAAAGGTCTCATGTATGGAGAATTAGTGGAGGGAAATCACCCCAGAGGGAGACCACAGCTGTGATATAAGGATATCTGCAAGCGAGATCTGATAATGTTTTGACCTTTTGGTTTGTCCCCTGCACATTGGGAGATTCTGCTGGTGTTGGCTTTAAGACTTTATTCTTCCTTTTGCTTTTTCTATACTAATGGGTTGGTTTTCTTGCTTCTGGGTGTGTTGTGCTCTCTGGAGGATTAATAGTCCTGCCTTTGGGCAAGTAAAATTAACTGGATGGTCTTTGACCCCTATTATTCCCTTTGTCCCTAATGGTGAAGGATATTCATGTTACCATTTGATGCCATCTTCTGGACAAAAATTAAAATTAGCCTATTACTAAAATTATGACATTTCTATACCAGCTTAAAACAAGATAAGATGTAGAATGTAAGTAAACATGAGGGATATAATAGCAATTGGGGGATATAAACTGATCAAAAAGAACAGAGATAATAAAAAGGGAGGTGGAGTTGCAGTATATGTCAAAAATACACATTCCTGCACAGAAATACAGGAGGGGGAGATTGTCCCATCAACAGTATCTGGAGCAATCTAGTTGGGGCAAAAAACAAAAACAACTTGGTAGTTGGAGTCTACTACTGACGGCCCAGTCAAAGAGAGAAAGTGGATGAAACTTGAAAAATAAATTGTAGGGTTTTCAAAGAGACACAATGTAGTAATGATGGGAGATTTAAATTATCCAGGTATGTGTTGGAAGACAAATTCTGCCAAGTATGGCCCTTCCAAAGAATTCCTGGCTTGTGTGGCTGATAATTTCCTCCTACAAAAAGTGGAGAAAGAAACTAGAAGATTTGCTATCCTTGATTTTATTCTAACCAAAAGAGATGACTTGGTGGGGGAAGTGGCAGTAAGGGGAACTATAGGCGAGAGTGACCATATCCTTCTAGAATTCTTGATTTCAAAGGAAATGAAAGTAGAGTATAGCCACACACTTCTGGATTTTTTTTAAAAGCCAATTTTAATATTTATTTATTTTATTTATTTTATTACATGTATCCCCCGCCCATCTAGACAGATAGTCTACTCTGGGTGGCATAACAAAGTTTAAAAACAATAATAATCTCAGAACAAGGATAAGTAAGGTCCCATGGCAGGAGATCCTGATTAGAAAAGGAGTCCAAGAAGGGTGGGATCTTCTAAAAAAAGAAATTCTAAAGGCACAACTACAACCTATTACAACAAGAAAAAAAGGTGGGAGGTGTCAAAACAGGCCAGTGTGGCTTCACAAAAAGCTCAGGGAGGACCTAAAAACCAAAACAGACATGTACAGGAAGTAGAAAGAAGGCAAGGTCACCAAGGATGAGTAAAGACAAGTAGCAAGGAAATGCAGGGATGGTGTTAGGAGGGCAAAAGCTGAGAATGAGCTGAGGTTAGCTAGAGACACTAAAAGCAATAAAAAACATTCTTCAGGTATGTTGTGAGTAGCAAAAGACATAGTGGCACAGCTCCGCAATTTGCATGGAAAAATGATAACAGGACAAAGAAAAGGCAGAGGTGCTCAATTCCTATTTTAGTTCAGTCTTTGCCCATAAAATAGAGCATGAACTTCCAAACAAATTGGAGGTACAAGTGTGTGTGTGTGTGTGGGGGGGGACAGGATTCTGGCTGGAGATTTATAAACAAATAGTCAAGGAATACCTTACCACCTTGAATGAGTTCAAATCTCCAGGGCCGGATGAACTGCATCGGGCCGGATGAACTGCATCTGGAGGAATAAGGAAACTGGCTGAAGAACTCTTAGAACTGCTGTCCATGATTTTCTTAAAATCATGGGAAATGGGTGAGGTGCCAGAGGATTAGAGGAGGGTCAATTTTGTCCCTATCTTAAAAAAGGGCAAAAAAGAGGAACCTGGGAACTAAGGGCCAGTGAGCCTTACATAAATGCCAGGCAAAGTTCTGGAACAGGTTATAAAGCAGTCATTGTGCAAGCACCTAGAAAACAATGCAATAATAATGAGAAGCCAACACGGATTTGCCAAAAACAAATCCTGCCGAACTACAGTGGTACCCCGCATAGCGACGTTAATCTGTTCCAGATTAATCGTCGCTATGCAAAAACATCGCTAAACGGAAGGAAAACCCCATAGGAACGCATTAAACTTAATTTAATGCGTTCCTATGGGGCCCTAAACTCACCGTTCAGCGATGTTCCTCCATAGCGCTGCCATTTTCACGCCCTCGGTAAGAGAGGGCAGGGCGTGAAAACACTTGCGGCGTCCATTTTGGAACTGCCGACCAGCTGCTGTAAAAACATCGCAATGCGAAGATCGGTAAGCGAAACGCTTACCAATCATCGCAATGCGATTTTTGCCCTATCTAAACATCGCAATGCGATTGCTTTTGCGATCGCAATTGCGACATTGCTATGCGGATTCGTCGTTAAACGGTGCACTTGTTAAGCGAGGCACCACTGTAATTTGATCTTGTTTTTTGCTCAGATAACCTCCCTGATAGAGGGAATGCTGTAGACGTAGTATATCTTGGCTTCAGCAAAGCTTTTGACAAAGTACCTCATTATATCCTGATTAGCATGCTAACTAGGTGTGAGCTAGATAAAAGTGTCAGGTGGATACACAGTTGACTATAGAATTGTACTCAGAGGGTGATAATTAATGTGTCTTTCTCTAACTGAGGGGAGGTAAGTGGGGTACTTCAAGGCTCAGTCCAGGGTCCAGTGCTTCTCAATATTTTTATTAATGACTTGGATGAGGATGTGCAGGGAATGTTTGTCAGATTTGCAGATGGTACAAAATTGGGTAGAATAGCTAAAATCCTAGAAGACAGAAACAGAATTCAAATTGACCTTGATAGGATGGAGCAGTGGGCCGAAAACAACAGAATGAAATTCAGCATGGATAAGTGCAAAGTCCTATACCTCGGGGGGGGGGGACATTCTACCCAGAGACCTCTGGGTAGAGTGGGCGGCATATAAATTAAATAAATAAAATAAATAAATAAATTGCACAGTTACAAGATGGGGGATACCTGGCTCAGCAAAACTATGAGTGAGAAACATCTTGGGATTGTTGTAGATTACAAGCTAAATATGAGCCAACAGTGTGATGTGGCTACAAAAAAAGGCTAATGCTGTTTTAGGCTGCATTGATAGAAGTATAGTTTCCAAAACCTGTGAGGTATTAGTTCCCCTCTGTTCGGCACTGGTTAGGCCTCACCTTGAGTATTGTGTCCAGTTATGGATACCACACTTCAAGAAGGATGCTAACATATTGGAGCAAGTTCAGAGGAGGGTGACAAGGATGACTACGGGGCTGGGAACCAAGCCTTATGAGGAAAGGCTGAAAGAATTTGGCATGTTAACTTCCAACACTGGAGGCATTCAAGGAAAACTTAGATAATCACCTGGCAGATATGCTTTGATTGTATTTCTGCATTGAGCAAGGTATTGGACATGATGGCCTTGTAGTCCCCTTCCAACTTCACTTTTCATGATTCTATGATCTCAAATCAAATACTTTCATTTTAAAGAAAAATGCAGCACAGTTGCAGTTGATGTGACTAGTCATCTATAATGTGCTGATTCCAGCTTATTATTTATGGGAGTAATACTTAACAGAACATACTACTTGTGTATTGTAACGGAGGTGTTAATTGTTGTACTAAAAATAAAAATGTAAAATACTTGCTGTGGAATGAATAGTTCAAAGTAGGCAGCAATGACCACCAGAAGCAGACTTCTTTTTTCATATCCTATGAACAGATCAGGAGAAAAGATTCTATCTGAAGCTTTCCAGCCCCACTCTGCAAGCTAACTGACACAGTTTAGAGACTTCCAAGACAGACCCTAGATTTCAAAGCACAACAGAGCAGCTCACTACACTTGCCCCTCCTCACCTTCCCTCTGCTGTCCCAGTCAGCAGAATATGGATGAACTTACAGTATTTCTAGTCATCATATCTTTCAGAAATCTTAGAAAAGTGAGTGTAGAAATCAGCCTGGTTTGCAAACTCTAGAAAATGCTCTATGTTTGGCACTGTATTTTTTAAGAAGTTAAAAAAGGTAGTTCATTGGAGAAAAATTAAATTGCATACGTATTTCTAAAAACCTAAGTACAGTTCTAGAAATGTAAATCTTCTAGAAGTAATTCTTCTAAGGTACCTAATTGTTTTGTTCACCATTTGTACTGCAGAAGCAGTAAGGATATGTTATAGAGTGGAGTATTTTATGTTGTACATATCGATATAAAGACAGTCATTAGGCAAAAAATCCTTTAAAAGCAGTTCAGTAGCACCATTGTGAAGTTATCACATGAACTCTCCCTCCTCAGTTCCTTTTTTTATTGCCACATTGTTGTTAGTGATTTAGTCATCTTAGGAAAATCTCAAAGGAAATGGGAAATACAGTGCTATGGATAAAGAATATCCTGTTACTGCAATAAAGTTATTTTATTGGTTGTTCTGCGTTTTTCGGGCTTTTTGGA